TGCGAGCCCCTTAAGATTCCCATTTTCCAGGTTTGCTTCCTTTTCTCTGATTGATTAACTTTGATTTTAATTGCTCTAGATATCTTTGTAGCCTTTTGTATCACAGCGGTATTGTAATTACTCTGTGTTTAGTGTGATAATGGTCATCTAGCTTGTTCTGTGTGCTGCGCCAAAGTCAGGAACATATGTCCCTCCTGCACATTACCCGTCGGTTACATTCGCTGCAGAGCCATGGAGAAGGTCATAGAAACATCTAGAGTCTCATGTCCTAATGCCAAGTACGGGTGTAAGGAGAAAATGTTATATGGTGATCGATTTAGCCATGAGAAGCTTTGTGCTTTTGCCCCGTGTTCCTGTCCCGTACTTAACTGCAACTACACTGGCTATTACAAGGATCTCAACAGCCACGTACGCGCTAAACACAAAGACGAGGTGATTCCTTTTGTTTGGGACGTTTCCGTAACAATAAGACTGGATAAGACCACAATCCTTCAGGAAGAAAAGGATGGGGAAGTGATGGTAGTTCAAGTTTTCAGGGGTTTGCACGTTGTATATGTCGTTGTGAGCTGTCTTGCACCTTCGGCACAGGAAGTGGGAACCTTCTCATACTATCTAGTAACTGTACCTTTAGCTGTCGATGGCTCACTAGTGCTGCGATCCATGATGAAAAACACTCAGAAATTGAGTAATGAACAACCAGAAGATGGTTTCATGGTGATTCCTTCCTATATGTTGTCTGGTAGTTCGCGGATTTTACTTGGCCGTGGCCGGGCTTATGGTCATGCCTGAGTTGCGGAAAGAAATTATTTCGTTCTCACATTTTAGGTGTATATGATTTAGTTTGTGAACCTAACCTTTGAGGCTTTGAGGATAGAGGTTTTCTGTGATTTGAGAATCGATGTCTTAGGATTTAGGGAATGATCATTATGGAATACTGGCCTTAGTAGTATTTGTGAGATTCCACACTAAATACAACAATCATATCGAGTCCGAAGTGTGTTCAGCTTGGGGTCTGTAGCTACCAAACCGAACTAACCGGGATTGATATACCAACTAACCTGCTAAGCTAAATTATTGAAAAGTATGTGTTAATAGATCTGGGTAAATTACTATCTACTGAAAATTTTAACTATACTGAACTGAAATTAACCAATCCAAGTTTTAAATTTGAAAAATACCTTCTATCTTTAATTTTGAAAATACCTTCCGTCTTTAAATTTGAAAATTACCTATATTTATTCGTCTTTTGAAAACTACTCTTCTTCAGTAAGTGATGACATATTTTTATCCTGATTTTAATGAGAAACTAGAGCTCGATCCTGCGGTGTTTATTGTCATTTTATGTATATATATATATTTAATTATTTATTTAACTTTTTAAACACTTAAATTTTATAATTTGTTTGTTTTATTTAATTAATTATTTTAAACTCACATATACTTGTTACTTCTTATATATATATATATATATATATATATTTTTTTTTTTGAATTTGTGTTCAATAATTTGACAAACTAATATATGCGAAGTTCCAAAAATTTGAAAATTAGTTTATATTTTCTTCTCTATTATTAAATCTAACAAATGGATCTAATTTCAGTTTAAGTTATAAGTAGTAGTAAAAAAATAATTATTGTTTAGTAATTTTAAAAAGATTTATGACAAATTTAAAATATTCATATACAGAATTTAATATCAGATTTTATAGAAATGATAAATAAATGATTGAATATTAAAGGAAAAATTCCATATAAATACCCCAACTAAATTTTATTAAGTTTTTTAATACCGAAACTTTTTCGCTACCCAGTTTAGGAATAGTTTTTCTATAATATAGTTTTTAGTGTGTAAAAGTAGGTGTCTATTTTTTTTTTTTTGCTATAAATAGTTTTTATATCGTAGGTCAAAACTTGATATAATTATATATTTATAGTATATATATTTGTATTACACGATTTATCAGTTTGAAAATAACCTTAATTAAGTTAATATCCGTTGTTTAGGTTTCATTAGATAGATTATATATGTTTTTTTCTAAGTTTGGGTTTTGTTCATAACTGATGTGGAAATTTTATCAACGGCGTTATCGACTATGGGAATAACTGACTCCGGAGTCTGGAGTCGGTGGTGAAAAATATCTTCGATCAAAATAATAGTAGCTATTAAAATGTAAGAGAAATTACATATTCATTTAATAAATAATGGAAAATAATAAAGTTTTGTTTTTTTTTTAATTTTATTTCACATACAAATTTTTTAAAAATATATATTAGGAAACATGTGCAATGATTTAATTTTTTGAGCTCCTAATCTATATATTATTCAAGCCTCCTTAAGCCATCTACATAGCCAGCCGCGTGAGACTCACCATTTTTTTTTGTTTTTTGGTCTGTTTGTTTTAGATCCATTTTTTTATTATTATTGGGTTAAACTATATTATAATAGGACATTTTTAAGGCTCCTTAAGTCATCTACATAAGTAACCGCGTGGGGCTCATTTTTGTTTTTTGTTTTTTGTTTTTT